TTTAGTATGTACGTAGGTCTTGATGAGACCTCGAAATGATTAGCTTTCTTACCCTCTGGCGGCTTGTTATGCTACTTCACCAGTACTCCCGGTTTTTTATATCTCGTGATTTAGACAAGCTACGGTGACGACATTTAGATGGTGGGTAGCTCTTGTGCTAATCAAGAAGTGACGCGTGTTTGGGCTTCCTGGCAGCTTGTTTCTTTACCCAACTATTCCAAGTGTTCTCTTCGTCGTCCATTTTTTATGTGAAATAAGAAGAAAACGTCAACGTTGCTTTGGACCCCCCCCCCACACACACACACATACACACAAAATCACTGTAGTTACAGCTGACATCATAATGTTTACCTCCTAAATTAATGCTTTTGCTTCAAATATTTAATCAGTTCTGTGTGTGTGTGTGTGTGTAAATCAACATATTAAAACGAATGCATGAATTTTGGTTGTTTTTTTCCATTGCGTAATATGTTTCATTAATTATTCTGAGTTGCATATATGTACTTTTGACAATTTGAGTTGACTTTGTGCACTTTTGACTCTTATGTACCGATTATGTTATGTTCAACGTTATATTAAGTTCTTTAATTTCATTTGATGTTTCCAATCTGACCTTTTGACTCAAACTTGGATTTATGTGTATATGATTTCTGTACCTATGTTTATGTTTACGTTTGTGTTTTGGTGTCTTATAAGCCTATATGGGCTGGGCGACAAAAGTCGCAAGACACGTAAATAAAAATTCATCAATTTATTCATTCATTCATTCATTTATTCATATTCAGGGTTGAAGTAATTTTTGCGTGTAGTGACAAACGTTTGTTTCATGCATGTATGTTTCATTTCGTTAGTACCAAACACAACACACCCAACCTTCCTGTCACACTGACACAGTTAAAAAATCATACATCCGCATTGAACCATAATAGTTACTATTTATTGCAGAAATAGCCAAAAAGCGCAAAATCCTAAGCAGTCTTAACAATGTTAACGACAGTATCAATGAAAGACAACAGATATAACAGTGGTATTAAGAGCGAATGTCTGTAAGGATCAAACAATGGTGGCAGGGGTCGAAAAATCGATTTGGCTCAAACTTTGCACAGTGATAGTACTTGGCCCACAACCCCTCAAAATAGCTTTCTTTCCGGTCAGCACCGATCGTTGCCATGGTAACGGGCCAACCAAGTTTCGGGGCCATTTTCCCTGATTTAGACATGTGAAAAACATGAAATTTGGCATAGTTTAAGGCACGATTACGAGCAAGTGCTTTAATATTATGGAAAAACAAAGTATGGGCTTAAAAGACCAACTTATCCGCTATTCTAGAATAGCTTTGAAATTTTCAAGAAGTTCGTTTAAAGGACCTGGGCAACCCTAACACAATACAGTGTTTGAGGCTTATGAAAAAGCGTTATTTCTGCCCAACTTCGAAGTGCTGTAAGTCCGAAGATGGTGATTTTTTTTGCTTCAAATTTAAATCAATGATACATAAACATATGTGCTATGAAATGCATGGTTGCAAACTTTGGGCACTTCTTTGGTTGTCACGTGGTTGTCCTTAGAAGTAGGTCAAATTTTGAATTTGAGGGAAAATATGATTTTCAGCCATGTTCAGGATACTACATCTACAGAAGAAAGCAAGCAATCTGATAAAGTCTTTTGCCCAAAGTAACACTATGTCTTGTCTATTAAATGAATACTTGTGGAGGTTGGAGTCTTGTGTCGTTGGTGTGCACTTGTCCCTAAAAGTAGGCCATATTTTGGACATGTACAGAAATGGACATATACGCCTATGTTTAAAGCTCTAGAAATAGCAAAGTGGGATGTCATTTGAATTCAATCTTTGCAGGAAAGTACATATATGTATTGTGTATCAAATGAATACTTGTGGAGGTTGGGGTATTGTGTCGTTGGTGTGCACTTGTCCCTAAAAAGTAGGCCATATTTTGGACATACAAAGAAATTCGACATATACGGCTATGTTTGAAGCTCTAGAAATAACAAAGTGGGATGTCATTTGAATTCAATTTTTGCAGGGAAGTACATATTTGAAGTGTATCAAATGAATACTTGTGGAGGTTGGGGCCTTGTGTCGTTGATGTGCACTTGTCCCTAAAAGTAGGCCATATTTTGGACATGTAAAGAAATTGACATATACGGCTATGTTTGAAGCTCTAGAAATAACAAAGTGGGATCTCATTTGAATTCAATTTTTGCAGGGAAGTACATATTTGAAGTGTATCAAATGAATACTTGTGGATGTTTGGTTCTT